GATAGGGAATATGATACTTGAAAGTGGGATAATGGACTTTAAAATGGTCTCTTAAGAAATACGGCAATTAATTTTCTCATTTTGCAAATCAGAAACTAAAGTTTAAAAAGATTATATTTAACACAGGTCAGACAACGAGAACCCATGCAGTATACTATAGCTTCATTTTCAAAGCTCTACCAGAGAGCAGAGGCAACTGCAATCATTTGTAAGACTTATAAAAATCTCAATTTCTTCTTCTCTCTGATCTTTCTCCATACATTACATCGTAAAGGTTCCTGTTTAAGTGGTTAGTGTTCTAAATGTATTTGTAGCTTTTTTCCCCTAGCTTTTGTAAAATACATAATTAAAATTTTATTTTTCTTCTCACTAAAAATGAACAAGCAGTAGCTCAAACCACCATGAAAAAAAGGTTATTTTACATGGAAGGAGATCAACACTGACGGAGAGCCTAGTATATGTAAGTACTGCTTAACTTTAGTTCTACACCACATGAAACGTAACATAGAGATTTTTTTTTATGTTTCAACAAAAACTCTTAGAGTCCAAGCAAGTGTGCCCTACATTAAGTTGATGGCTTAGGAGAATAATAGTGAGAACCTATCGTTCACCTACAATTTCACCTATTTACATATTTTAGTTATAAGGCAGGAAAAGTAAATAGCCACCAGGATTAAAATGTCATTGACAAATCTGTGGAGATAGTAAAGGCCTTTTTGCATTCACCAGTTCCAATGAAAAATTTAAATACATGAAAATTTCAGATAAAAACAGTGAAAAACTAGTTCTGAATGGACTGCCAAGTGCACGTATACCTAGAAATCATTTTAGATACTTATCAGGTACAGTGGGAACAATGAGAAGACAGATGCCAAATTTAACACGTCATTCCATACACTCACTCATATTAGATCTTTGTGGGCTTTTTGTCTCCCTATTTCACTATTTTCAAGATGCAAATGAAAATTCTGGAGCTAAGTAAAATTATCTGAAATTAGGAACTCAATAGATAGGTTTACCAAGAAACCAGAAAAAGCAGAAAGCTGGGGATGTAACTCAGTGGTAAAGCGCTTGCCTAGCTTATGTGAGGCACTGATTTTTTTCCCCCAGCACTGTAAAAAGAAAAAAAAAAAGGAATACAGGACTAATGAACCAGAAGACAGATCAACAGAAAGAAAGGTCCAAACTGGGGCGGGGTCAAGCATGGTAGTACATGCCAGCAATCCAAGCTACTTGGGAGATAGACATCAAGAGGATTGTAGTTCAAGCCTGGCCCTGGACACAAGACCCTAATTCAAAAAATAAGTAACATAAAAAAGGGCTGGAGGTGTGCCTCAAGTGGCAGAGGCCCTCAGATCAAATGCTAGTTTGAATTTAAAAAAAGGAAAAGAAAATATCCAAACTGAATCTAACGATTTTTTCTTCTAGTGAGACAAATTACATAGTGCATATAAAACATGTTTTTAAGAAAAAGAATGATTCTCAGCTGGGATGTAGCCAAGGTGGGGTAGATGCCTAGCATGTGTAGGGCCGAGTTCCATCCCTAGCTCCACAAAAAAGAAAAATAGCTCTTAAACTATGAAAACTATAAGGAAAACATGTTTTCAAACAAGCTTTTTAATTATATTGGGTTCCTTATAATTAATATCAGTTACATTTGGTTAATTCAAATATCAAAAAGCAACAGGCAGAGAACCCCAAGTCACAGTGAAGCAGTTAGTGAGCCATGGTATGCCTGTGCCTGACTAGCACCTTGTCTGCACCTCACTCCAAACACACAGGTGTCTACTGATAGCCCCCTTACACATCAACTCTCCCAAGTCAGGGGATCAACTGAGCAGGGGTGAAAACCTCAGACCCAGGTGAAGGAGTGAGAAAGGTCTCCCACACAGAAGACTGGCAATGAAGTGGGAACCTCTTCTGACTACAGAACTTGGCATGGGCAGCATTGAATCACCACATACTCCCCTATGTAGTGCTTCATATTCACAGAGATCCTCAGCGAAGAAAGTGCATGGAAGATGCCAACAAGAGAGAGGAGTGTTTTTTCAAACCATGGGTCCTACCCCTTCTACCTTCCTTTTCTCCCCGTCTTGAGATGGGGTTCTCACTGTGTTGCCCAGGCTGGCCTTACACTCCTGGCCTCAAGTCATCCTCCCATCTCAGCTTCCCCAGTAGCTGGATCTACACCCACTGCATCCAGCAACTGAGTCTATTTACAACAATGTGGAGGCTACACTAGAAGGACAAAATGGCCACAGGGAGATTTTTTTTTTTTAAATAGTTATCCAAGCAGTCCAGGAAGTGGCTTAGAGTTAAAAGGAGGGGAAATGTTGAGAAATCCTAAAGAAACAGGATCAATGGCCTTGGCCATGTGAGATAAGCAAAAGAGAAAATGTCATCATAACTCCTAGAGAACACGGGCAGAGTAGCCAGGGCTCTCAAAACTTATGAAAAGGCATGCAATATGGAAAGGAAGGTATGGATAGCACAGAAGGAAAGCTATAAAAAACTACAGTTAATTCCACAAGCAGTTTCCATTAAAAATACCCTATACAATTTTAACAGCAAAAACTTTACATTTGATATGGAGATAACACTATCTTACAGTACAATGTAAAGTGAGTCCTCCAAATAAATGTTGCCAGGGCCTACAAAATGAATAGGAAAAAAATGATTTCCTGGTTTCTCTCTTGTGAAACAGACTCAACAGCAGATATTACAACGTAGTTGCGATGAGCTCAGTGTGGGACATACTGCTGCTGCAGTGCCTATTGAGGACCCTGAGTTCAAAGACTTCTTCCAAATTTTACAGCCCTCAGTTAACACAATAAATGCATAATGAACACTGGTGGCCACAAACTAGACAGACTAGATCATGCATTGTCAAAACAAACTGATGTGAACTGAGAGAATAGTCAGCTGACGTAGGACAGGGTAAGAACATACAGGTACCAGTACAACCTCTACTTCATACTCTAACACTTCCTTGCCACACATCTAGTTTAAAACAAAGAAAATGTCAATTGTATTTCAGCACATGAATTACTCACAGTGCAATCAAATATTCTTCTTCCTACCCCTGCTCTGGTCCTTTTTACTATTTCTCTTTCAAGTAACAATTTAATGGTGATTTTCAATATCAAAAGAAAGGCTGTATGTTACCCTAGTGCTAGAATCAAAATACTCCCTTTAGTCTAATATTCATCTAGTCTCTAGTTTCTATTCTAAGGTTTACTTGGCCATATAGATAGAAAGAGATTATAAGCTTAAAGTTGTGAGCAGAAGGAGAAAGGGCAAGGGGGAAGGGGAGAGGAAGGAGAAAGACCATGGAAGGTTTGGGTGCTACTTTATGCCAAAATCCTTGGATTTGTAGGTATCAGCCAGTGCAAACTGCATGACAACGATGCCATAAAATGAAAGTTAATGGTGTAATGGAAAGTAAATTTGAATTTTGTAATGAAACAAAACTGAATTCAAATTAAAGTTGTACAACTTCCACATGACCTTGGAGAAAGGTAGGGGAAACTGCAACATAAAGGAAAGAAGAGAGTGTTGTACAGACTTCCGTCTCTCATTTTACCCCTTTTACCTCTTACTCTGGTCCACTGGTCTTTACATCAAGGCTTACTGACACCAGATAATCAGTGATTATCTACTTGGAAATGCAGTGGTGCAGAATTCTAGTATAAAATGTTAGGAGTAAAAAGATGGCCAACTTCAAGAAATCCTGCAATTTGTCCCAAAACAGTCTTCTAGTTCAAACAGTGGCAAAATTAATAGGTATTTAGGTTGCCAAAGTAGATATTTTCCCTTGTATACCATAATTTAAACCTGAAAAATAATACAATTAAGTAACTGAAAGGGGATTTAAAACTTTATAATTTGTCATAAAAAGCTAATTTTCACAAACTCCTGTGATAAGCTCTATTCTCCAAAAATGCCAATGATTTAAATTTGGTTTAAAACAATGCTGAATTATACCACTGTATTTATCAGAAAAATTATTACTAAGACTTGTGGACAAGAGTGACATCTCTGCTCACTCACACAGATCTATGTGGTTAGAGGAGTTGAACATGTTAGTCCCAATCACTAGCATAACTTTCTATCCTCTGTAAGGAGCTACCAAAGAAAATGCCATTTTTTTGACCACTTTTTTACAAAGTTGCTATTTTTGAGCCTTTTCCAAAGAAGAGATGAGTGCAGGAACAAATGAGGAAACAACAATAACAGATAATTATTCTAAGCCTTTGGAGAGGCAGGCATATAAAGTGATTAAAACCAGACTCTACAGCCAGACTGGGTTCAAATACCAGCTGTACAACTTAAGTCAATATGTGACCTTGGTTGCTATGTTACTCAACCTCCAGGTCCTCAGTGTGCTCATGTGTAAAGTAGGGTAAAAACAGTACAAACAGCAATTCTATGGATTAAATGAGGCCTGGCATGGGGTAAGTTCAACGGGTAGGCATATTACTGTATTATTATTATTATTATTATTGGGTTATCAGTACACTGTTAATGGAAATACTTGATTCTGGCACTGGCCTATAAGTTCAGAATAGCCAAAATGCTAGGTAACATTCAGTTGATAGAGAAGAGCCAAGAAACTCCCAAGAAAAATTGCTTCAACCAAAATCCAACCTAAAAGAACACTGGTTTTAGCTTTGAGTTACAAAGAACTTTTCTTTTAGCTGTCTCTTTATTCAAGAAATAAGTGGAAGCTGACACAGCAAAACAGACAGGAGAGAAGGGGAAAGCTGGAATGGAAGGAAGCAGCTATAACAAAAATGCTCTAAAGGTGTTTTGATTCTTAATTACCAGTGCCACCATTCATGGGGAATTTTCAAAAGGTCTCAAAAGCTATTAAAATGGTAATTAGGTCCCCAGAAAACAAGAACCAATTCAATTACAAGCTGGATGCTTTTAAATTTTAAAGCCTGCTATTAGGAGGGTTTTGAATAAAGCACAATCATAGTTGCAGGTCCATGACCAACCTTAAAGCCAGCGTGTAGGTTCCGGGCTGCCGCTGACTCTCCCGGATGAGGTAGCTCCCCTCAGCCACACTCAAGAGCTGGTCAGCCGCTTCTCTGGAGATCATGCCATGAAACCTACGGTACAAAGGCAACTCAGAAACTCTGTGCTTTCCACATTTTTTCGATAAAACAAAACCCTCCACCCACCTTTTCCTGCTATTTTCTAGACAAATACTACCATATAATTGAAAGAAAACCAGGCTTGTGTGTCTCTGGTCCTGGCCCCTGGCCAGCTTCTCTGTGTGATGAGAACACTACCAAATTAGCTACTAAATCCCCTTACCAAACATGAAATCAAAATTCCACCTAAGGGAAGATCAGCTACTTCACTTGAATGGACAACCCTTTCTCACACACGGACTTGCATAGGAAAAAGTACAAAGAAATGGAGCCCACTTCTTTCTTCAAGATTTTGGCTTAAGAGTCTACAATGGCAATTTTCCAGGACCCTGGGTAGTCTCTAATTGGCATGATTGCTCAATAATGTGCATAATCTGCATTTTGAATACTCAAGCCACAAGCAAATAATGGTGATACTTGCTTTCATTGCCTGTCAAAACCTTACCTTTAACTAACAAAAAAGAACAAGCATTCTTTATATAAACAGTAGATTGTTCTATAATAATCTATCATAAAACATTAAAAAAGAAAAAAGTCTGTGGTGACATTCAAAATATGAAATCACCTTACATATGAATGGTGATTTATAATTTATAAAGAACTTACAAATCCTCTGAGCATATCAGAGATAATGAAGGAATACAGGACATGTCGTCCCCAAAATACATTGTTCAGTGTATTTTGAGCTGAAAGCATTTAAAAAACAGCATTTCTCTGAACCCCCCTTATCTACCTAAAGATGAATCCTCCAAAAGGAACTCAATTGCCATCAATCCCCCACCCAGGACTTTCAGCAACCAGGGAAGACTTATTCTCCTCACAGGACAGGAGACTAAAGAGGCACCGGCACACTCAGAGGAATTAGCACAAACTGGCTTATCCCCATCTAGTCTTCTAAGAGACCTTTCATGTTTCCATTTGCCATTCCTCAAATAGCCAACATCTTCCCTCCCCTTCTCATGTTAACTCAGTCCATAAACTCTCCAATCACAAGGTTTTCATTTTATGCTTTCCTGTGATGGCCCTATGCATATTATTTTAACAATTAATACATTTATTTACTTTCTGCTAATCTGCCTGGTGTTAGTTTATTTCATATACTCAGCTATCAAACCTAGGAGGGCAGAAGGAAAGTCTTTCCTCCCCTTCAGTAACTGCACTGACTCTACTCAAAAGAAACTCTGCAGCTTCCACTGGTATGAAGGAAACAACAAGTCACTTGATTTTGTAATGGTAAGTTTCATAGGCCCTGAAGTGGCACTTTACTAAGGGTAAGTGGCAACTCTGGAGTCTTTCCTCATACTCATGGTTTAGTTCCTCTGCACAGACTTAAAACAGTTCCTGGCAGGTATGTTGAAATCATGACAATCAGAGGAGCTAGGGTTACAATGGGCTCCTGAATTTTTCATTTCCACAAATTTTTCAATCTTTCAGGACTCAGTCCACAAGCTAACACTTGAAGCATGAAGGTAACCTATTCCTGTAACACATACCATCAATTAGCATATACTTTAAGTTTACATAACATCAATCACTACAGAGAGTAAAATGTAGTATCTGTTTAAGAAAAGACAAGTACTTAAAAAGAAAAAATCGAATTCTAGGAAACAAATTTTGGAACAAAACTTGACAATGAAATTTAAAGAACTTAAAACTTATTCATACTAGTTGCTCCAATATTTCTGCCCCCAAAAAACCTTATGCACTAAGACAGTTCTTACAGTGTTGCTTTTAATGGTAGCGATCAAACATTCTTAATCCAAAAGCCCAAAATCAAAAATGCTCCAAAAGCTGACACATTTCTGGCCTCCAGCAATTCTGTACAGTTTAAAAGCAAGCTCATTGCCCAAAGCAGGAAAGTGCTATATAAACTATGGTGTGCCTGGAAAGAGCACCAGGGTGCTCAGCTTTGGAATCACTCCTCACCCACTTCTAGGTTTGTGCCTAGTCACAGTAGTCTGGAAAACATACCTAGAATTTATAGTAGATTAAAAATATTGACTGTATACATTATTATTTATGTCATATGACCTCAAGTCATGAAAAACCAACCATTTTATTTGGGGACTGATGGGATTACAGGTAATTTTTATTCTTTTCTCCAAGGTGCTATATTTCTGTGTATCAGTAATCAGAAAAATTAAGGAATTTAATTTTTCAGAAATTATTGCAGCAGCATTCTGTACCATTTTTGTATAACCTGCTGCCTAACTGTAGAACTGCAAATAAAGCCAATTTAAAAAACTACTGCAATGCTCATTATTAATGTTAAATGGAAAAAAATCAAGCTCTGAACTTGTATGTACAATATCGCAATTTTGTAAACAACCATTAGGAAGTCAGGCTTGGTAGTGCATGCCTGCAATACCAGCACTTGCAAGGCTAAGGCAGAAGGATGGAGAGTTTCGGGCCATCATGGGTTATACAGTAAGACCTTTCACCCCCCAAACGAGATCTAAATCTTCAGAAAGTAATACTTTAAGATTTTAACATTAATTATTTGTGGGTAGCATGAATTTCTTTTTTTCTGATAATAAAAGAGACTACAAACTATTTGCAGAAAATTTAAAAATGTATAAATATAAACAGAATAAATCACCCAGATAACACTGAGTTTATGTGTGTCTAATGTACATACACACAAATACACACCTTCCCTCATATATATCTAGGACTATTTACTTATATGACTGCATCTTTAACATTACTCTACATATATTTTCCTGTGCTATTTTCTATGTTGTACATCAATTAGAATAATTACATTTGTATTCAACTCCACCAAACGTGAACTTTATCTTGCTTTTACTTTTGCTAAAAACATGCATTGTCTCTTTTCCATATGCCATTCTATAAAATACTTGATGAAAAGCCATACTTACTCTCTTCCATAATACTTTGGTCTGTTTTCTACCTGTTAGGAAAGAGGGAAAAAAGTATATTTGTGAAAATGCAAATGTGAAAAACATAACATTTTATACATGTGATAAACTAAAGCTTATATTACTAAAAAGAATCTGAATAAACTTAAGAGACCAGAGGATAGAGGCTGGGTTCCATCAGCAGACTAATTTCACCATTTTGACTGGTTATTTCATTTCTCTTGACTTGTTTCTTATCTAGCATGCAATGAATTACAAATGATATTTACATTGCTCTATTTAAATAGTAAGATAAAACATTCAAAAACTCAATGTCACAACTGTGTCATAACAGATTGTGGCTTTCTCTTCCCTCCTCCCCTACTCCTCTCCCTTCCTGTCATTCCATATTTTGCATTCCGTTGACATCTCAACACATTGTCTTCTGTCTTCCCATCAGCTCTTCTCTCACCACATTCATCTTCTCTGAGCATTCCCAGCATGTGTGCTGCCTACAGCTAAGGAAAGTCCCTGAGTTCTTCTGCGTAGACAGGACAGAGGGCATCTGCCCCACTCATTCAAGAAACACCAAACAGCAAATATATCTCAAGCACTTTTTATCTGAAGGGAACCATCTCTGAATAAGACCAAAAATATCATAGCACTACATTCGAAAGGTGGGAAGCAAAGACGTTTAAAAAAGAAGCAACAAGAAAACAAAAAGTGCAGCAGTAGTGAGAGCTATAATGAAAATAAAGATGGGTAACTACAGGGCGGTGAGGCACTGAAGTCACATGGTGAGGAGGCCTCTCTGAGATGACACTGAAACTGGTCTAAATGACAAGATAGTTGTAACTGCCAAGTCACAGGAACAGAAAAGGCTTTTCCCAAGGAGTTACCTGGGTGAAACCAACAATTATATTTATTGAGCTCCTTCCGTTCCTTATGTGTTTTAGTTACATTTAAAGATTAGTCTTCACAAGAAGATAGGAATATTTCTACTTCTTCTTTACAAGACAGTATTACTATTCTCATCTTACTCATTTTCGTGAGAAAGTTCCTCTTTTAATTTGTTCCTATATTTTTAATTATATACATTAAAGTTTACACATATATTGTGTACATTTATTATGTCGCATAGAATGGTGTTTTGATGTATACCTACATTGTAGAATGGCTAAGAGAAGCTAGACATATCCCCTCCAATACTTTTTGTTGTTTGTGTTTTAAGGCTAGAACACTACTCTTGGGCTGGGCATGGTGGTACACACCTACACTTCCAGCTACTTGAGTGGCAGAGATAGGAGAATTCAGGTTTGCGGCCAGCCCAGGCAAAAGTTAGTGAAAACCTATCTCAAAAATAAGCTGGGCATGGTGGCATGTGCCTGTGGTCCCATCCACTCAGGAGGCAGAATTAGAAGGACTGAGGTTCAACAAAGTCCAGGCATAGCAACTCTATCTGAAAAACAAACTAAAAACAAAAGAAGTTGAGCAAAGTGCTCAAGTGGTAGAGCACTGATGAGGCTTAGAGTTCAATCCCTAGTACCACTAACAGACCAAAATAAAACAAAACAACCCACTCTTAGCAAAGACCAAGTACACATCATTAACTGCAGTCATCATGGATACAGATCTCTTGAATCTGTACCTCCAGTTGAAATGAAATTTCATATCCTTTAACCAACACCTCCCAATCACCATCCCACTTCCAGAACCTACTATTCTCTGCTTCTCAGAATTCAACAATTTTAGACTGCACACAGACGTGAGGTCCCGCATTGTCTTTCTGTGCTAGCCTATAAGTTCTCCACATCATCCACGTTGTAATGACGGGATTGCCTGCTTGGTTAAGGCTGTATTCAGTTAGGAATACATAGCACTCCACTGCACACTGGAATGGCATGTACGGCATTTGCATATTCTTTATCTATTCGTTCACTGACAGACACTTAGGTTGATTCCTGTCTCGGCCCTGTGAGCAGAGCTGCAATAAACATGTAAGTGTACACATCTCTCTTCATTTTCTCTAGATGTACACACAGTAGTAGGACTGCTGGATCATATGGTGGTGAAGAAACTGAGTATCAGAGAGGTTCATAAGGTTATTACTTGTTTGAGGTTATTACTTGTTTAAGTGGAAGAGCTGAAGGTAAAACAGGGATTTTTAGGCGTAGCAAAAAGCCATGTGCCCTGAGTCTGTCTGAAACTAAGTCATCTGAATTCAGTTGAGTATGGCAGTTTCCAAAGCAACTTCAAAGTCTGTATTTTCAGTGATAATCTGCCTTGGTTCTGCACCAAGACTGGTTCCCAAGTCTAGGTTACCTAGCCAGTGGTCATGCAGAACTCATACTGTTTTTAGCAAAATTCATAGCATAGAATGAAATTCGTTTCAGTGGGAACTATGTCCCCTCAAGGGCACACCCTTAGATTCAAATGTAGTACACTGTCTTTGAGCCATTTTGGAACTCTCTAAATTGTAGGCAAATGAAACATAAAATTTCTCCTACGTGGTAGTGATTTAACTTTCTTCTATTCACCCATCCCAGTGAAAAACTAAGCTCTTTTTGTGCAATTTACCTCAATATCCCTTGAGACCAAATAGATATGTTGTTTTGACTTCTCCTTTCAACCAATTGTAACATCTTCCTGGTTCTGTTGTATCTTACCAGTTAAATTGTTAACATGTATTCACTTTCATATCTATAGGAGAGTTCTGATTTTATCCTGTTTTTGCTGAGGTTGCAGCCAGGTTATTTATTACCTTCCCAAGGTAAATTACACCTGATTTGGTCTTGTTCCTCTGTTCAGAAAACTCACTGTACTAAAAATATGCCAGATGACCCCTACAGGTAAGGATGATGGCTATTCTATTTTTAGATCCAGGGCTTATCAGAGTGCAGTCATGCATCTGCTTGAAAGCAAACTTCAGCTTGTGATGAAAATACCATGTTCAGGTCTTAACTTAAAGACTTTAAAATTTTATGGTATTATACAATAAAATATTGTCCAGAAGAACAATTTTACATTCTCTATTCAACCTAGAAATCTGTAAATGATCAGGTTTTTTGGAGAATTTTTGTAGTGCTGAGGATCAAATCTAGAGTCTCGTGCATGCTAGGCACTCAACCGTGGAGCTACATCCCTAGCATGAAATGCTCAGTTTTTACTCTAGAGGCACACTTGCACATGTACACATGAAAACCTGTCACTTATGCACTGTTTGTTGTCATTTAAAATGGAAGAGCAGGCATGATGGCAAATGCCTGTAATCCCAGTTGCATGAAAGGCTGAGGTAGGAGGATCATGGTCCAAGACTGGCCTCAGGCAGAAATGCAAGACCTTATCTGAAATATAAACTAAAAAGCAAAAAGGGTGGGGGTGTGGTTCAGTGATAGAGTTCCCAATAAGCACAGGCCCTAAGTTCAAACCCCATACCGACCCTACTACCCAAAATGGAAGTAAATATATACCAGTGGAGGAATAATTAAAAGTGCTTTACAGTATAAATAATATGTACAGTTTGAAGGAATGATGTAAATCTGCAGGATCTCATGGGGCCCACCATGACCTAGTCATCAGATCCTACACATTCTTTCGGCCCCTCTTGGCTGTGGCCAGAACCACGTCTTGGAGGCGCTTATCCCTAGGGCTTACCACAACACCTCCCCAATCAGCCTTTTTGCCTCTAAAACATCCATTCTCCTTCTTAATCCACTTCCCCATTATAGCCAAATCCTCTAACTCTAATTCTGACTTAAAATATCTTCATTTCTGTAACTATCAGGACAAAGTCCAAAGTCTAATCATGACATTTGTTTATTACTGATGCCTACTTAGCTCTCTGGCCTCATCTTTTGTCACTCCCCAACAAGTACCCTGCAAGTGGCCACAGAAAACCACATACATGTGTCTCAAGATACTTACCACCAACTCTGCCCTACTGGTTGATTTACTGCTCCATTGCCCATCAAGGTCAGAGACATGGCTTTGTTTTAACTTGAATCCTGAGGCTCTCACAGAGAGCAGCCCCTCAGAGAATACAGATTTGGTTGAATGAATAAATAGATATGTGTCACAGAAAGAAAAAGTATCTCTAAAAGACACCGATAACAATGCACACACCGCCAAGCTGTAGTATAAGAACACTGTATTGGGAAATAAACCACACAGAGAGATCTCATTCAGACATGTATTCATTTCACTGTACAATTACTTAACAATCTATATTTCACCAGTCATTATACTTTAGCACTAAATGTAAGCTATTTAGGGAAGGCAGGTAAGTAAAGAAATTACTACAGTTAATTTCCTACTTCTGTAACCAGGTCTGAGCAGAAACATTTAAAACAACATGTACTAGCAAAATACATACCCCATATCCATCCAACTGGTATGATTAGAATCAGAATACAATGTAAATGTGTATTTTTTTTTCTCTCCATTTCTTCTGACAGTAATAGCACTGACCTGAGTTTCAGTGCATTTTGTCCAGTCCATTTGGTACAGAGAAAGATAACTGGCATTGTTACAAAAATGAGGATCTGCACTCAAAAATGTCCCCTGCAACACTAACTTGAAAAATGTACCACAGAGTAGAGATATGGCTTTATAAATGTAAAATTCATCACAACATTCACACAGGATTGCAGGGAAAAGAATGAGATTTCATGTTTAAGGATGGTCAAATACCAAACTGGTTTGATTCACATCGTTTTAGAATCTATCAAAGATATGGCTTTTCTTTGATATTTGTATCTAAATTAGATGTCTTACACCTATTTAGCTTAGGATTCTAGCTACTTAATTACAGATTACCTATGTAACTTATACCTGTGTCTAATCTCTGTTATACACACAAGTTTATTTTAATTCAACCAGATGCTTGACATAAAAAAATTTTTACATAATTGAAAATAAGTATATATTATATAACATACTTTATTTCATTGAACAAATTATACATCTACATTTAAATATAACAAAAGAGTTGCATGTGCAGAAATATGTCCCATTACTTTATGGGCGGCCAGGGATTCCCAAGGTCATTCTGACT